GCCACTCATCCATTCTGTGGTCACAAACAAATAACAATTATTGCCTAGCCTTGCTTACCATCCTTTTGACCTCACAAACTGGTAACTTTACCAGCGCCGCTCCTACCTTAAGATGACATGAGAGGATAGCACGAGAATATGAAGTTTGCAGCAGAAGCTCATGAGGAAATGCGAGCCGTTATGCGGACCGACAGCAGCCAGTGCAAATAATGACCCTATTTGTTGGCTATCTGAATGTTGCGGACATTAAGGGAATAGCTTGTGGTCCCAAAGAGCTCCAAGATAGCTAGTAAATCTTTCGAAGAATGGAACTTGCCTAAAAACATTTAGTATTACTTGGTTCACATACAATCCCCCTCCTTAACAAACTAAAGTCTAGGCAGCATGCATTTTTTTCTGAAATGATTTTTAATAAGGTTTTCCAGATTCAGTTTTCTCATTAAAAATTAGCGCCCCGATTTCAGGCTCAAGTAATGCAGGAAGTGCAATTTTGCGTACAAATATCGCAGAATCCACTACAAGAATACGCAGCGGACAAGTAAGTAAGGAATAACTGAGAGCACAATCTGTCGGAAAGCGATGCCGAAATTCCTTAACATCTAACGATAGAAAAGTCTCTACCAAGATGAGGACCTCGCAAGCTTCGATAGTGGCCTTCGTGAGTAAAATCAAAGGGTTACTACTATCAACGATGTAACTTCAAGAGCATCGAAGAGAGTTGTTTCCGAACTTGACTATTGGGCTGTCACGTTATTGCTAGTCACTGGGTATGTCGCTATGATACCCTACTCTTCGCCTTGTCATAACTCTAGTCAAAACTAGTAAAATCTAAAACAATCTAACCAAAATAATTTTACTTCGAAGTAAAACACATCGAAATCAGGATTTATAGCGCCTTGTCTTCTTGGTTAAATCCTTCTAGGACTGCATGCTTTTGGATTAAATATATTAGCAGTGACTGATTTGATAGAGAACAATAAACTACGAGGAAGTCTATTAATTATGATTTAATAATGGGTTTACAGTTCTTCTTGATAGTGATTTGAACACATCTGGACTATTTGGGTTAGGTTCTTTTCGCAACGACATACTTCTAAAATGCTTGAAACTCTTGTCGTATCGTTTTCTGTTCTCTTCCCTGTGAAAAATGTCGAGTTCAAGACGCTTGAGCAAAACACCTCTGTGGGACGAATCAAATGTGATGAAAAGCCCGTTTCAACGCTTCAAATACGTGTGGTTTGCACGCCTATACGCACATGGAATAGCTTGAATGCACAGCTAAACGATCTGAAAACAACCTCCAACGCATTCCGAATCAGTCATGTGCGACGAAAAACCGATCAGCCATGGTAGTGGCAGGCTAAAAGCTTTTTTTGGAAATCTTATTTTCTTGAGTGCTACAGTATCTGCAGATTATGGTATACCAGGACAGGTTTGGAATATTACTCAAACCAATTTCACGTAATATGCTCTAATCTTGGACATTACTTGAGTTACTTCAAGGATGTACTTCTAGCTTAAATGGAGAGCCACCTAGCCTTTCCAGTATTGCTGGAAACGCTCCATGTAAGGTAAATTTTTCTTATCAGTTGTCCTAACTAGTAACCACTTACTTCACTACAATGGAACAACAAAAAATGAACTAGGCAGGCACGAGTATGTCGAAGCTTCACTCCTCTACTTCTGAGATCGGAGTAATATGCAGTATGGCGCTCCTAACTCACATTATGACGTCAACAATACTGGATTACTCGTAACTCCGCTCATAGAACCCCCACTAGTAAGTTGCTAAATGCCCTAAGATGGTGCCTAACAGCAGTGAAGTTGGAACAGCTCAAAACTTTTCGTGAATTTAGTAAGTAAACAGGGCAACGCAACGATTCCATATTAAAATATGAATAGGGCTGATGACTTATGCAAAGCTTACTCTGCAGCATTGCTATAAAAACATGAGAACTACTCACTAGCCAAGGTCCTCTTGCCTAAAGGATTGATCAGAGAAAGCACCAGTCAGAGCTTAATCGCATAGAGAATTATAGACATGTATTATCGCGTTCACTTAAACAACACCGATCAAATTATCGTAATAATTTGACCTAGAGATGGAGAGTGATCTTTTCTGTTTCAGATAGCCAGTAGACTGGGAATTTGGTAAAATTTTCTGAGGGGAAATGGTACGTAGCGTTACTGTCGCAAGCTGATTCCGTAACTTTTTCCTGATTAAGAGCTCTAATGCAATTCTCATCTGATGCTACTATAATTCCCAATCTTTCCGTAACTACTACGACACAACGTGACGTAACAACGTGACGACAAGTGACCATTTATTTAAGGAGCAGGAAACACACATATGGGCTTCATTTTACCGAAGGAATTTCAAAAACAACGAGTTCTACGTATCAGAAAGACCGCCGAACCCTTGCGATCTGTACTATAATGTAGTACAGTCTCCCTTCGATGGTTGAGCCCTAGACGTGAAAGAGAGATGAATCTGAATACCTTGAGAATCTTACACTCTATCAAAACCTCCAAGACTGCTATTTTCCCTTCATTTGGGAACAAATTCATATTAGGACCGTGATTTATGAGACAATGGCCTTCTCCATTTCATCGCTATCCTGGTGTGGCAATAAATATGAAGGAATTAATATGAGCAGATACACCAGGCGGGTACAGTACCCAACAACTGGTGCAATTCCAAAAAAAAGTTGAAGTCTAGTTAACCATTAGGAGCTCATAATGCAGTGACAAATAGCGGTACCAGTAAGTGTGAAAGCCGACTCACAGAGCTTGAAGGAACAACGACGCATCATGAGATCGGTTTCTCGTCGTTCTCATCTCATTCAGAAAGATTTACAACTTTTGTGGTCGGTGACGGTAAGTGTAGATGTGAGGGGAACGTGGAGTAAGTAAATGTAGGTGAAGAGTAGTATGCAAAGCACGATATTTCTGAGACTCAGAGGTAACCGAATGATGTTTGGGGAACAAGCTGAAGCTGTTAGCGGAAATAGCTCACAACTGTCACTACTTGATATACGAGGAAAACAAGTTCGAAGAAATGTCAACTGCTATCATATCTGAACACTTGTAGTTATTGTAAAAGTGCCTTTGTCTTTCATCTAATTATTTTAACTATTACTGAATATCATCAAAAATTCAATCACCACTCTGAACCCCTGAGCATGATGGATTTGGTCGGAATGCTTCAGAATAGCACTTAGAGTATTGAAACAGAAATTAATGTTCTCCAGGGAATCCCTAAGAGCGGAGGTATCCAGACATGCATTAGAGCTAGCGATTCTCCATCAAAACCTTGGGGATCTAAAAATTTTGAGCGTTTTCCAAGGAACCTTCAACCACGCTTTGCTCTCAGACTCGTTTTTCCTCGCTTCATTACACTTGAAAAGAATATAGAGGTCCAGAATCAGTCCCAGAAGGGGAGTTGTTTCCAACAAACATCAACAACGCTGCTGAGTGGTTGAATAGATTTTGAAAACCCGTATTGCAAAAGAATGTACTCTTCAAAAAGCTTATTACTGCTCAGTTCCCTGGTTATTTCCACTGAAAGAGCTCGGTTCAGTGGCATGAATGGGGGTCACTGACTTTCCCAATTTGGCTAGCTCATTATAGTCCAAGTTCGATGTTCTTAAATCCTGGCATGATAGCTCGCTCCGAGATCAAGTCCAGCATGACACAAGGTGCGTCAGAGAAAAGGTGATTCAGAGGCTTTACACCCAAACCTACACTCGGTTAAGCTCATGGATTTTCAGGCAAACGAAATCAGAATGATTTTATGGGTATGGTCGTGGTCACCTCTCCCATGTCCTCCATGGACCTTATTGATATCTGGCTACAAAGACGTTCAAGAGGGTCTCATCGTAGCTTCAAATTCTCACTTTGTTTTAGCGACTGCAATACTTTTAGGCTAGTGAACTCATGCCAAAATGCGAGAATTGCAGAAGTCGAGGATAGGTCCTAACGTAGGTTTTCGAAATCGAAATGCGGAAACTTGAACATCAGATTTGAAAAAGTGGAACGTTGAGTAGTACGAAGAAATAGTAGTGATGAAACAGTTATATCAACGCCGTTTCACTGAATTATGCATTTCATGAAGGTCCACTATGTATTCTTTGATCTTGTCAAGAGTTCTAAGCTGAAACTCTTAACATGGTTCTTTTACAGATGAAAAACTATAAAGTACTGAGACTTCCAGCCGAAGAGCATGTAGGAAATGAGTCAGTTGTGCCCTCCAATGACAATACCCATGAGATTAACTAGGCAGATCGAATTAAAGGGTGCATTTCAAAATGTCCTAAATGAACTAACAAAGTATGAAGTTAAACCATGCAAGTAACCAGAAATAGGGAAGTAGTTCTTTGGCTGAAATGGATGACGCAGGAAGGACTGTCCTGCAGCTTGCAACTCGAAAACAAAAAATGTCAAATCAAGCAATTAAAGGCGAATTGCATGACGAGAATACACAAATGCCAGATTTCATTGCACTCCATGAATTCAACACAGATGGGTATTGATCGATGAGAAAGAGGTAATTGACTTGTTAAACTTCTCATGAGAGATGAGAAAGTTCAAAGAGGCATAGAAAGATGAAGACCATGCACCTTCACCTAAGCTCCTCATATATACTATTGAAATACTTACAAGTAGACTAAGGGAACCGAAAGGCAGATAGTATGCAAAAACTAGAGCAGAGCAACATGTCCTCACGCTGATCTTCCCTCTCCTATGCCTAATTCCTCATTAAAAGAAGCCAAAAACTCAAAATCAGAGATCTTCCGAGGATCCATCTGCGAGAATCTTCTCATGAGTTCTATGAGATTTCTTCAGATTTCACAGAGTCAGGGTTAGCCGTATTAAGAAAAGGACAAAAGCTCCGCTGTCTGTAGCCAACAGGAAGAGCGCTCCAAAGAAGTTCATCAGGCTCAAATTTCACAATTGGTGAACTCAATCAGCATACGAAATCACAATAACATCGGAAATACTCACCCAAATGCGTAGAGGATGTCAAATAGTTCGTCGTCCAGCGTGAGCTTGGACGATGCACGATCGCCAAGTGATTCATGCTTTGAGTTCGACTCCGTTGCTGGACGATCTGGTACTTGTTTTGTTTCAGTAGATGTAGTTGTAGCTCGTAGATTCTGAGATCCACGTCTGGCTGCGATTGGCATCGAAGCGACCGCCGTCGGAGCCAACGAGGGCGTGACCGCGTATCCGAGGTGCGAAACGACTCCGAAGCCGGCGCTGCCACCACCGCCACCACCACCACCACCGCCCCGACCGCCCATACCTCGGCCGAAGTCGCGTTTTTCACCCAGAATTCACTACCTGCAATAAAATTTGAACCAGTTCTATACAGTTTACCAAAAGCACAAACGTATACGAGAATAACGGCCCTATTATAACTTGTAGAACTGTTATACAAGTTCGATACCAATCAATGAACGCATGGCAGAAATGTCATTATCATTCAAGATTGATGAACCAAATTTTATCTTGGTGAATTATATTGACAACTAGAAACAGGTTTTTGTTGACTAGCTGCCAATGGCTTAAAGGTTGATCTCCTACTGGTCAGGTGGATAGAGTTTTTCTAGTTGCAAGCCTTGCAACTGGCGATTGCCCATCGAGTTCTTAGCATTCCACCCTACACCTGGGAGAAGCTTAACGTGGCTTCGATTTCACTTCCTGAAAAACTGTTCAAAGCGTTTGAATACTGTTAAACTACGAATGCAGCTTGTTTTTTTGAAGGAACTTTTCTGAAACTCATAAATTTCAGCAATTTATCTTGACAAAACATATATCATTGATGCCGTATATGTTGTTAGCACTTTTGGGAGCATATCCGAGCTCATAACGATCTTATGGATGGATGCATGTTTCTCGCCGAATGCACCACGTGCAGGTCCCACGAGGAATCATTTCAGCACGTGTATGCGCGTTCAGATGTGTCAAGAAACCGATGACCCCCTATGGAATGGGAGCGCTTCGTCCACTACAGCAGCCGCATATTCCCGAATTTTTTTGCTATCCTCCCTCTTCTCGGCGAGACTACCAGATAAAAAATAAAAGGGACGAGATTCCATGAAATACCAAAGGTTTTCTTTTGCAAACGGACGTGACCCGAATAGCTTTGCGGAAACATGTCTGGTGTATAGCCCAAGGCTGTAAAGTAAGGATAAAGTGATGGATGTTCTGGATTGCACGAAGAGTTTCCCCATGACCGTGTGGAATGTGGAATGCGCAGTATCCACGAAAGGTTTTCTAGAACTCCGTACATGAACGTGTAATGAGAAGAACCTTCAGCAGATTTCATATGTCTATGCTACCCAATTGACACCTAATTTGTTAAGTGGTAAACAGTTGGTACGTGCAACGCGAAGGCATTATGTTACGGCATTGACCACCTCAATAGCCGACCATGGATGTTCCATGCAAAGCCTCCTCGACTCAATGCCAACACCCTGCTGGTTGGAATTCCTTTCTTAAATACTCCTGTTTCGAATAGAGAGTTGATGGATGATCTTTCAAGACATCTTGTGGAGAAGAAGTACATTCGATGTCTTGAGTCTCCGGCTAAGCACCATTCTGTGGTCCCTTGTGCGCCTCCAATTCTATGCCTTACCTTTATTGTTTTGGTACGTTTTTAGGCAAATAGCTGGATGATTGAATGTTCAAAATCCTAAACCTCCTAGTAAGTTGTAGGAAATTAAAGAGCAGCCATGAATGTAGACGTTGCAGTTTCGGAAATGAAAGTCTATCAGAATTATCAGATTATCAGAATTCAGATTCAGGGGTTATCAGAATTGAAATTAGCTAATCAAGAGTGGGGTCAGAGGATTTGGCGCTGAAGTTTTTTGATGAGCTGGCTAGCAACCAGAATCAAAAAGAATCAAAATGGAAATTCATCAAATGAGACGTTGGAAAAGGCAGTTTTTATTGAAAATCAGGGAGTCTGAATAGTAATCGGATATGAAAACCAAAGGATGAAATGGGTAAGTGTAGCGGCTGAACGAAGTAGGGGTCGAACAGCAAAAGAAGGAGCAAATCAATATCGGGATCCAATAAAATGATGAGATCAATTCGTTGTTCGATGCTTACCAGTAACTGCTCCAACAAATAAGGTGGGGTAGAGTCTATATCGCTGTAAAAGTAAGGAAACTCAGTAGAAATGTGAGGCTTTATTCAGATTTGAATTTTGCTGCTTCCGCACCCTACTAAGGTCTAGTCGAGTCTATTTGTATCCAATTTGAACATACTTCAGTATTTTGATATTACTATTAGTACATACGGCTTTGCAATAGTCCTCTCAACAAGAAATGAATGAAGTTGACAATCTGGTAGCCCTATATTCTTCCCTTGCGAAGTTTAATCTGGTCCTCAGCTCTTTACTTGGTTTTGATTAAGCAGACTCCTGCTTGGGAGCTTTGAAGAAGCCTAGAAGGAGCTACTCAGGCAGAAAAGGCCGAGCATCAAGATGGTGGGTGGAGATGGAATAAATTTGCTTTTCCAATTTTGATGGAGTAAGATCGTATTTGTGAAGTAGGTAGAATTTGAAAAGCACCATTTAAACACCAATATCATATCTCCATCAGCTCAGTGGTTTTCATGGGTGCTTGAGCTGAGTATAGCTGAGGGAGATGGAACTCCGTGACCAGCATGACCTTTTGACCCTGAAGAGAGAGAACATGCTCTGAACACTCTTCTTCTCCTACTATCGCATAAATGATTATTGAAACGATCAATAGTAAGGGTTGTAGCAGCAACAACAATAACAACATCATCAACAACAACAACAACAACACCAACAAAAACCACAACAACAACAGCAACAACAAAAACATCCACTACAACAACTGCAACAACAGCAACAACATCAACAACATCGGCAAAAGGGGGAAAGAGAAATAATGTAATCGTAAAGGAACATGTAAAATTATGATGGTGGAATGTAATGAGACACCGAGAGCGGCCGGTCTTTGCCAGCGCCATCCCTTTCGCCACACTGCTGTGCTCGTCATCTTCTCGTTTTGAAGTTTGACGAGTCTCGTCCGACAGGTGTCGATATAAGCTATTTATTTTACATTAGCACATTTTACAGGACTTTTACTGCATTCTTAATCTAGCCAGGTCTTCAACAATTACTGGACAGTTGGCATCACGTAGATTAGATAAATTAAGTCCAGTGCTTTTGTTTTCGTTCTGCCAGTGAAAGTCAGTCTATAAATTTGATGGCGGCTTTCTTTACTCTGCATACCATTACATTGAAAGCGTTGAACACGCGTTCGCTGTATGTTCAAGAGTATGATTGACATGTGCGAGGGAATGGGGGATGAGATGTCTCACGCCAAACCCCGGTCCCATCGATCCTTTGCACTCTACTTCATCATCCGGTCATGTCATACACCCTGATTGCTTGTGACAGAACATTTATAACCGAATTAAAGTTCAGTAGAACTTTGTAAACTGTATCAATACATGACTATAATCTGGGAAAAATTTTTTCTAAGGGCAGGAAATTCGATAGACAAGGACCATGAAAGGGTGACCGATAGAAACATGAAATACCACTGTTTGCAGGAGCAATTTTGCAGCTCTCAACTGTTAATGTAATTGCTTGTGCAGGTGCAGCAGTGTTTTGGGGAAAAACGATATTCCCTTTTTTGATTCAGTGTCATTCGAACGCTTTTGCAGAGAAATACCATAGGTTCGATTCTGTGGAGAACCCACACTTGGGTGGCCAAAACAGTCACCGATCTCACCCTCAGCCTACAGTTAAATTTTACCTTACTGTGTAAATTAGGTAAAAGCACGACGGAGCGATCACAGTCTGAGAATTCGACCATTGCATGTTCGATTAAACCTCCTTATATCAACTGATTTCCATTGCCTTCCAGAACTTTAGTCTAATTCCAAGCATTCAGCAGAATCAAATTTAGATTCAACCTTCCGTTCAACCACCTGCAGGAAAAGGTTGTAGCAACACATCTGAAGTGCCAACATAAAAGACTAACTTTGGTAAAAGACAGCGACAAATACAAAGATATTTCTCTGGAAAGAAGGTATACCTCTAAGAGGGAAGGATTGTTTCTAGTTTAGTGACAACAATAGCGCTAAGCGGGGTTAGAGAAAAAATCAAACCCTTCTCAACCTGGAGCACCCAATGCTTCAAAGGTTAGTCCTTGCTGAACGAACAGCTGTTCACATCCTATCATTTTCAGAAAAAGGGAATAGTCATTAACGCTAACGTCATAGTCATTAACATTCCAAAAACTAACGTCTTCTACATGATCTTCGAAATAATCGAATACTGAATTAAAGGCTTTGGCACTTAAGGTTCTTAAGGCAAACTCGTCCATGCTCTCTTCGTTAAATAGTTTCGCGCGAACTCCACGTGTAGCTCGAAAACACACCGGCGAGCAAATTGTTGTAACTCGGCAGCTTTCATATGAAACTTTTTAATACGCTCAGCATATATACCTTGACTTCGACATGTGGACAAAGATGAGTAAAAACGACCAAAAAGCTTAAGTAATTAAGTACTTATAAGTAAGTAATTACTGATTTAAAATACTTTCCTAGTAAACGCGCAGTTTACAATGTTTTCATACAAGTTAAACTCACATTGGCTGGAACTTAGTGAGCTTGTAAGTTCAGAAAACCCCATTTGAAGGACTTTTTAGTCAAAAGTTGTCCATTTAGGTACATTTCGGGAAAAGTTTGCGAGATCATCCAATAATTTTCCCACAAAAACTCCGTTAGATAAAACACCCAATGTAGTATAGGGCAAACAGATTTATACCTTTATAGCAAAGTGCCAGCACTAATAAAAACTATTTTGAAAAAGGAACCCTCGTTTTAGGGTGAAACCAAATAGCTCTGAGAACGCGAACCAGATAACCACGGTATTCCGCTCCAGCGTATGCAAAGGACACCTTTTTTGATTGCCATAAAATCCAGAAAAATCCCTGCATTCGATTTGAGTGTGGTACAGTTATTGCACCCTTCTGCACTATTTTGAGCCAGATTTTTCACAGAAATAAAGGCCTGTCATATACGCTTCCGTGGGTGAAAACAACCGAGTTCTATTTCATGGCAAACTGAGATTCTATCGAGTTGCTTCAGCTCCTTTTACCTAACTGATTGATAGCTTGGAGTATTCTATGTATACAGCCGATCAGGAAATTCATCTAGATGGCTGAATGGCTCTGGCTAAATTTTTGCTGCTACAAAATCTGGCATAATTAGAAAAATAACGTTTTCATGATTGATCTGCACCTAAGAGCAT